TAATAATTGAGAATTCAAAAACACAAACAGTTGTCGAGCATTTATAATGTAAGACGTTTAAAAGTATAAGAATTTTGCAATAAAGGCACTGAAGCGAAAGCTATGCTATTGCTTCTAACAAAAAATTCACAAGTGCATCATTTAATTTTCATTGATACACAGTAGAAGCTACTCGAATAGCAATATTTTTGCATTAATATTCAAATACAACTTCGATCTAACGATAAAATCTGTCATGGATGTTTCATCTTATGACTAAGGATAATTTGCCTTCAATGAAAATCAAAGTTAAAACAGAGCGACTTCACTATGAGAATAAAAGGAAAAAATCAAGCACTCAAATTTAAGAAATGATTAGGGATGTGACAAACATCCAAATGATTGCAGGCCTTTGTGCTGAGCAATAAATCATCTTCTGTTAATGAAAGACAACGGACAAAGGAGTGACAAAATTAATGAGTAACAAAATTCGATTTGTTGGAAGGTGTATCGCTCCAAAGAATGTGACAAACATTCGCAGGCCTTCATGCTAAGCAATAAATCATCTTCTGTTATTGGATGACATTTAAATTTAAAATTCAATGAACCTTTTGTACAATAAACCTTTGTAATCGCTTTGACAACGCATGGAACAACTTTTGTTGTTTCCATTAATTAATAAAAACAACTTTGTTATTTTCCCTACCTAATTAAAACAACTTAGTGGAACAACTTCTGTCGAATCCATCTATTAATATTTAAATATCTAAACCAGGAAATCTTACTGATCCTCACAGTTCACTGTGCGGACAAAAGAAGCGAAAGATATTGGAAAAATGCAACTACTTGAGCAATAAAACTAGTCCCAACAGTTCTCTGGGCGGACAAATTGGGAAATTCAGGTTGCACATCAGAAACACATCGACTGAACTACGTGAACAAACACACCAACATTTCCGAAAGCTACGCTTATCGGAATTTTGATTGTCTAATCAGCATATATCCAAGATGGAGTGTAACAAAAACAAAGCTTATTAAGGATCTAAAAATTCAGACATGGAAAAATTCTGCACATAAATCCGATAAATATAGAGGAATTCACTCATCAACCCTGAGGATTAGCTTCTGTTGATCCTCATTGATTAAAAATTTACATGCTATGAAATCGGTCAGGAACAACAAAAAGATGGACAACTCACCAGATAACAATTCTGGGAAAATTGGCAACTCTCGAAGAGGGGAGTGTGTCGCGGATCGCTCCAAAGTGCATTCTCTTGCTCTAAGAGCAAGAGAAATATTTTAGTTTAATAATTGGCTGGGAAAGTTAATTTCTATTTATTTCGCTTATCTTCCTCTTATGGACGCGTCAACCACTCTTGTAGTGGAAGACTAGCATTAAATTGTCAACTAAGCTCACTTTGGATATGTCGAAACTCTTAGAGCTATCGACTCGTTCTTTATCTCTGACCATACATTCTTCTGAAAGGCAAATGGATTACTCATCCGCTCATGTCAATCCTTCTTAAATGGCCTGTCTTCCCAAACACTAAAGATTGTTCATCCGCCTATGTCGATCACTCTCAGAGTGAACGACTCCTCAAATGGTAATGGCCTGCTCATCCATGTCGGGCACTCTTAGAGTGAACGACTCTCATCTCACACATTAATTGCTTGCTCATCTCGCCATGTCGCTCATTTTCCTAGTGGGCGACCTTTGCTTTGTCTCCGCACAATTACAACTCCCCGCCTATTTGTTCAATCTGGCTTTTCTTTATAAGAAAAAGACATGGAGAAGAATTAGTTTCATTTTATATAATTTTAACCTTTCTTTCACTTTTCACAATTATTTTCCAATGTAAATAAAAACTTCCCTTTTATCCCTTTTTTCTTTTATTTTCCCCATTAATGTAAATATTTATATTATTCCTTTTGACTTATTTACCTGTATTTATTAAATAAATTAAATTATTCGACTATTCTTATTTAAATAAATATTTATGAATTAACTTTTATTATTAATAATTACTTAGTCATCATTGCCTAGTCAACTACTTCGTTGTACTCATTAAATGAGCTACAAATAATGACTTATTTCTACTTATTCCTGGCCTTCACACGTCAAAATAGGGAGTTCCGGGATTCTTCCCGGGCTCAATGGCCACGGCAGACGCGATTTTGCGGGAAAACCTGTATCTTACAACATGCCTTCCATCATGCGGCATCTTGCCAAAATCAGTCGGGGACCTATGGCTCCGCGACGGAACATGATTCCCCGACAATTTTTAAATTATTTTTAGCTACTTAATTTGTAAATTATTTATTTAAAAAATTTATGTTCTTCCAGTTTATGAGGAGTCCAATGAAAAATTTTAAGTCCAATGGATACTTGTGATTTTTATGTAGAAGTAGCAGACTCGGCGGATTAGGTTCTTCTTCCTTCCTTCTCTAATAAATAAATGTTTCCAGCTTAGCTCTCTCTCAAAGTTGCTTTAATTCCTTGATTATGATCCATAAGGTCTGAAGGATTCATAACTTCCCTCCTTTAATTAAGTTATTCAAACCTTGGGATTTTGGAACCTAAAATAGGTTGTAACTATTTTAAATATTTTTCTATATTTTAAGGGTTTTACAACCCAAAAATCTTTAATATAGTAATTGGAAAGGATATAAAATAATAAATATAATTACAGACAAAAATATTTTCTTCAGAAAAATAAAACAAATCCCATGACCTCATTCAACATTAAATTATTTTAATAAAAACAATTTATGAGAATATTTTTAAATTATAGTTAGGTGGGCACTGTATAGTATGGACAAAATAATTTTTAATTAAAAGTAAAAGTAAAAATATTTAAAAGTAAAAAGTGTGGGATAATTAATTAAAAAATATTTTTTGTTTAATTTTCTTAGAATTAAATAAATTTGTATTTGTTATAAACAATTTAAATAAAGTTTTAGTAAACATTTTCGTAAATAACTTTGTAAAAAATTGTTATAATAAGGTGCGTTGCGAAATTATAACCGCACCCCAATTTTTTGAATTTACCAACTTCTCGATATCCTCTTTATAAAAATCCTGTCGGACATAATCTGAAAACTGTTTTGACTATTATTGACCTGATGTACTGGACGGAGTTTATTATTAAAATTTTAGCCAAATTGGATATCGGGAAGTTTGTAAATTCGAAAAATTGGGGAGCGGTTATAATTTTGCAACGCACCTTACTTGCTTGTAGAAATACTTCCTTTAACAAGAAAAGAAAAAAATGTTAATAGGAGAAATATATTCAACAATAATTTATTGTTTTGCTACATTTGGATTGTTTTCTAATTGGTTTTTAATTTGGCTAATTTTACGTTATACAATGAAAGAAATGCAAGTTTATAGCAAAATACTTTTACAAACTTGTTTTGTTGATATTGTTGGGATTTGTATGTTTGTTGTTTCTCAACCGGTAAATAAATATTTGGGCGCGGGAATGTTTTGGCGTGATTGATCTTCTTATAATCTGAAAACTCAGATTGTAAAAGGAAAAATTCAGATTGTAATTGTAAGAGAGATCCCTCTTACAATCTGAAAATTCCTGCTTGATTCATAATTAGGTAATTAATAATTAAAATCTGGATTTTTTCAAGGTTTTTATTTCCGATAATGGCACAGGTACAGTTTGGAATTACGGACCTATACATTTCTTACCAAATCCTTGGCAATGTATACTTTTATGTTTCAATTATTTTATGTCAAGAGTTACCTCAATGAATGTCTGTACTTTATTTATTTATCGTTATTTTGCTGTTGTTCAGTAAAACTTTTTTGAAAAAATTTTTTGAAATACTTTTTGTATTTAGAGGAGTTAACGTTAAATTTAAACATCAATTATTATTACTTGTTGGAATGACAATTCCAATATTTATATTAAATATTTTTGCATTTATATCAAACCAACCAACCCCAGAAAACGAATATTTAACTAATTATGAAGTGGCAAAAATATTAGAATTGGATAATTATACAATCGAAAATTATGTTGTTGGGCTTAGATCCAGAGTAAGATAATCCCTGATTGAGTTAAAAATACGAGACTAGACACGAAAAGTCTCTGAAGGCTTGAAATTTGACTTAAGGAAAACTCCCCACGTTCCCCGGAAGATTTCTGAACTGGGGAAATGAAAAGCTTTAAAAGAACTTTAATTTTTATTTAAAAAATTAATATTTACAGACTAAGGTTGGCGGTTCCGGTTATCCGGAACCGAAAAAAGACCGGATAACCGAAATCTTCGGTTCGGTTCCTAAAATGAGGAAAAATGGAAGAAATCTAGCCCTTTGGCCTTCCAAATTTCTCAAAATTTTTGCCTGCGGTGCTGAAAAAGGAAACAATCCTGGCTTAAAAATCTTCAAAATTCTCAAAATTTTCGCCTGCGGCGCTGAAAACGAAAACAATCATGGCTTAAAAATCTTCAAATTTTCGCCTGTGGCGTTGGAAAAAGAAGTCACTCACACCAATTACAATCACTCAATCACCCAAGTCCCCCAAATCGCTAATATCCCTGTTTATCCCTCTTAATCCACCTCCCCTTTATACCTCGATATACTCCTTCCTCAATAATCTTCTAATCCACCTACATCCCTCATAATTCATTAAATCTCCCAGTTATCCCTATTAATCCTTTGATATCACTCGATATCCCCTTAATCCATACAAATCCTCTTAAATAATATATTACATTGATTTTCCACCCGGATAGTCCACCCCTCTGAAACAATATAGTCCATTGATTCTCCACCGGATAAACTCTTCGAAATTCTTTGAATTTCAGGTAAATTCTTTGATCCACGCATTTATTGCACTTAGATAGCTCTGTTAATCCTAAATTCCCTCGATAACTCTGTTAATCCTCAAATCCATTCATAATTCCTCCTAATCTCTCTATATCCTTCCATGGGACTCAACTTTTCAGCGCCGCAGACAAAAATTTTGAAAATAAAAATTTCGGTTTCGGTTCCGGATAACCGAAGATTTCCCAGGAACCGCCAACCTTATTACAGACCAACGACCTATCAATTTTTACTGCAAATTATGCTTCAGCATTAACAATAATTAATTATATAATAATTATTTTTTGTGGAATAAGTATTCAAATACATGTTTATCGTCATTGTAAAGGTGTAGAAATGACTCAATTACGTAATATGAATAAACAATTAAGTATTGTTTTGGGGGCACAGGTGATTTGAAATTAAAAACACTAAAAATTCATTTCCTCATACCTTCAATAATTTATTTTAACAATTTTAGGCTATTCTTCCTTTATTACCTTACCTCTCCAGTTTATTCTCCAATTTAAATGTTTTATTTAATTTGCCTGGTTTACTTTCTTCGTCTATTGCGATATTCTTTAGTTCTAGTTTGGGATCTTTAGTTGCTTTTTTAAATCCTATTGTATGATTATTTATATTTTTTAAATTAAAGAAAATAAATTTAAAAGGTAACAATTTTGAGTGTAAGAAATTACAGACAAATAATTTTTCGATGCAAAAATAATTCAAATATAAATCAAGTTGCTCCAATGCCTGAAACTTCAATGCCGAAAAGAACTATACAATATATTAGATAATTATCTAGAGTTTAAAGTTTGGAAGATGCCGAATCCGGTTTCGGGATTCAAAAGAAATTTTATCCGAACCTGATTTTCGGGATCAAACCACGAAAATCAGGAAATCCCGATTTTTTGGACCCGGCTCCGAACCCGGATTTCTAAAAAATTATTTATAAAAATCTCACAAGAATTATGCATATTAATAAAAAATTAAGTAAATATTGGGACAATTAATTACATAAATATTGGGATTAATTTCCCATTTCGTATCGGAGCTTGTGTCTGCGCGATGGACTGATGTTGGACTCAGTTGGACTCTTATCCTGGTTTTCCTGAAAGCAAAAATACGAAAAGAATTTTTTAAATTTATTCTTCATCCCCTCAATTTTTAAATTATTTTTAGCTACTTAATTTGTAAATTAAAAGATTAACTTAAAAAAATTTTGTCAAGTAATTAGTTGGTCATTCACACAAAATTATCATGTAAAACAATAAAATTAAAGTTAATATTTGTACTTTTTGTCTAGTGAATTTTGGGGGACAAACACGGATAGAAAAAGATGGTTGTACGCCGGTTAGGCGCAGCAAATTTGGGCGCGGATTTGGATATTGCTCTCAATAAAGAGCCTAAAATTCTGAAATTTTGTTTAAATATTCCCTTTATCCTTAATTATTTTCTCTAAAAATTTCAGAATTTTTGGTCCATTACATATTTAAAAAATTATCAATATATGTAAACCTTTAAGGACAATTAATTTCTCGTTAAATTTTGACCTTTTCGGCCATAACCTTCAAATTATTTAACGAAATTTTAGAAATTTTTAGAGTTAGGCAATTGAATTGGACGTTAAAAAAGGTTACTTAAGTTGAGGTCTGTTTAATTTTGTAGGTATCTAAATTCGAAGTTTGACAATGTTTCAATTGTCAATGTTTGATTTTATTGATGTTAATGAATGTTTGATGTTTCAAACATTGACAATGTTTGAATGTTTGTTTGGTGTTTGATGTGTTGAAATGTTTGATGTTGTTTGTTTGACAATGTTTGTTGATGTGTTTGACAATGTTTTACAATGATGATGTTTCGATGTTGATAATGAACGTTTGATGTTTTTAAACAATGTTTGAATATTTGTTTGATGTTTGTTGTGTTGACAATGTTGATGTTGTTTGTTTGATAATTGATAAATAACAATGTTTGTTTGTTAATGACATTGTTTGTTGATGTTGTTTGACAATGTTGATGTTTCAATGTTGATAATTAATGTTTGATAAGTTTGATGTTTTTATTTGATGTTTTTGACTATATACAATGTTTCCGCCAAACCACCTTCGCGTCGAGACATCGTCACCCTTAAAAGAAAGTCTCTCTCCTTTTACTATGCACTTTCTCGCTCATTTCTACTTAAAACTAAGGGAGTACTTTAAGTTAAATAAACAGGGCTTTAAAATTGCAAAAGCCCCGAAAATGTGAAGGTAATCGAAAACAAATAAAAAAATAATTTTTTTTCTTGGCCTCGCTCCAATCGATTTTTGGTCAATAAAAATATTTGTCATTTTTTCCATTTATTTTGCCTCATTTTGCATTTTATCTCGGTTTTTTTCTTTGCTTTTTCTTTCTTGTATTTTTTGAATCATTCCCTCTTTTCTTTAAATAAAAGTTAAAAATAAGCTGATTTCTTTTTACTAATTTTTTAAGTTTAAAAATAACAAAAAAAAGTTATGGCCTACGCAACAAAATATTATGATTATCAGGTATTTATTGATTGTTAAGAAATATATTTTATGAATGGCTTATCATTGGGGCCAGACATGCACGAAACTCCAAAATTTTTTCAGACGAAACGAAACGAAACAAATTTTTTTAAAAATCGTTTCGTTAACGAAACGAGACGAAACAGTAAAAATTTAGCGAAACGAAACGAAACAAAACGAAACATTTTAATTTTCAAAAAATTTAATAAAAACGGTTTTATTTTATTAATTATTCGATTTTAGACACGTTAATAGGCTAGTTATGGCCTATAATTGATCTAATAGCTTAGTGGGCCTTAAATTGTGGTCCCAGGCTACAAAACTTTCGCGTTTGACCCATAATCCATATATCAGCCTTAATTCCACCAAATCGACTTTAATCGAATTATGTGTTGAGAATATGCGTATATCAGGGACCTGACGACCCGTTTCCTGATTCCCTAAATCGGGAATTAACTTTGTCGGAAATTACTATCCCCCAAACCCGTCCCTGATTCCCGACATTTTTTTAAATTTTTTAAACCCTCCAAATCCACCGATATCCCGTTTACACTCTTCCAATTTCCTATACCACCATTGCTCCCGCTGATATTTCTCAACTCAGATTTTTTGTTGATAACAACGTTCATGATTAGGGTTACCAAAATGGACAGACTCGGACCAAAAGATCGAGTCGGGTCTAAGATATTTGGCCTGAAAAGATTCGCTGGCCCGACTCGATAGAAACAGGCCCGAAAAAAGGCAACCATATTCATGATCATTGCCATCAGTTGCTAAACTTTATTAAAACTCTTGCGCCTGCCCTGATTGGTGTTAAGAGGCAGATCGATTCTATATGCCTAATCTAGCATAGAATTCGAGCTTTGCATATTAAAAAACAAAATCAAACGAGAAATTCAAAAAAATGTAGTAAATTATGCGCCGTAGGCGCTTAAAATCCAGATTTCAGCGCCGCAGGCAAAAATTTTTTGAATTTTGATCACCAAAGAGGAAAATTTTTCAGTTTTTGGGTGAATTTTTGGGCTAAAAAATGGGTAATGTTTCGTTAGCGAAACACAGGTGTTTCGTTAACAAAACGAAACGAAACAAATTAAAAACTGTTTCGTCACGAAACGAGACGAAACAGGAAAAAACATAACGAAACTAACGAAACAACGAAACGAAACGAAACGTTTCGTGCATGTCTGATTGGGGCTTTATTAAAATTCCTCTTAAAAATTAATTTAAAAATTTTACAATTTTTAAATTAATATTCACATCTGGCAGCCATCTCACCTTATAAGTTTTATACAGTATTTGCTCCATTACTTGCCTTCCCTAAATTAATTATCCCTCCCTATCAGTTACCCACAGGATTGAAAGAATAATTGTTGAAAGTGACTAATTTTAAACGGGTTTTTTATTTAAAAATTCCAAATTTTCCCATTAAAAAAACCCTTTTCAAGGTGGCAATAATATTCTTAATCCTCCTGGCTGGTATGGCGCTTCTAGCACTTGTTGTTGGTGCAATATATTTTATTTGTGTTGTTAATGTGAGTTTCACACTTTGTTGTAAAAAACTCTTATTCAGAGTTTTTTCTTTTCACTTCTAGCTAGACTAGAGGCTATAATTCTTAAATCCCGAAACGCTAGTTTTCATCTGATATCAGAGTCAATCCGAAAACCACTGGTCATGGCCCATGCCGATCCGGTCTTTTAGTTAATCCTTTTTGCCTTTGATAAAATCACGGAATCTGAGACAAGGAAAAAGTGATCTGAACGAACTAATATTGGCTATTGACAAGGGTTGTCGGTTTCAAACCGAACCGAAAAACCAAAGATTTTCTGTTCGGTTTTGGTTAGCCGAAGAATCTTCGGTTAACCGACAACCTTACTATTGACTCTTAGACTATCGTTATCTCAAAATTTTAACTATCAAAATTTAGATGCGAAACAATAAAAAAGGAACTGCCGGATTTACCCGATATCCTTCCGCAAGGAGTACAGTTCGAAGTAGTCGGTTTGAGGAATGGCCTTCACATCAAAGACAACAAACACAAGCATTTCCCCAACAACAACAACAATATTCACCTCATTTTGAAGGAATTGGTCCTCAACCTATGGGAGGAATGGTTCCAACTATTCAGGGACAACAAATGGGGAGGTTGAAATATACATTAAAATAATTGAGAATTTTTTCTTAAAAATTTGGAAAATTTCTAAAAAACAAAAGTCTTATTTTTGCAGCTATCCCAGTCCTCAGCAATTCCCAGTTGTTCAGGAACTGCAACCTGACTACTTTCAGCAACAAGTAATTTTAAATCTTATTGTTATGAGTAGGATTGTTGTTTTCGGACCGGGTCGACGTTCGAGTTATTTTTCTGGCCTCATTTTTATCGAGCCAGGCCGTTCGAGTCTTTTTCGGGCCAAAATTCGATGCCCGACTCGATCTTTCGAACCGAACCATGCCAGCAGCCCTAGTTAGTAGGATCAAATTACAAAAAAATTTTAATTTTTCTCTGTTAAAAAATTAAACTCCAAAATAAATTTTTAAAATAAAAAAATTCTTTTAGGGTCCAATAACGCAAACAACTGTATATCAATATGACCAACAACAACCAAGAACTTCAGCATCCTATCATATGTCTTCCGTTTAGAATAATCAAAATTATTGCCGAAGATGAACAGAGATAGCATTTCTATGATAGTTTTGGCCTGTCTTGAAGGAGGGGTTCTCTTTTACGAGAGAAATAATGAATCCTTTTTGAAAGCCCTCTAAATTAAGTTTAGTGGATCTGGGGAAATCTCCGAATAGCCTACCTTTTTCTAGTTTCGATACCTCTCCCTGCACAGATTAAGATTACGAGATATACCAGTTGTAAAAATGAGAGAACCTCCCCATTCTTTACTTAGGGCCAAAATTTTATTCTCGACCAAAAAATGTTTTTCAAGCAAAAAGTGCACTCCCGACATACCCTAGGGTTATTGTATCGTCGAGCTATAACTTTGTTCAGTCCGGACGCCCTAGTTAGTATTCTAATATTTCCCAACGAGTTGAAATAACTAAGGCGTCTGATAATTTTAAACAAAGCTGGTGGTGCATAGACTTAATGAATTTTATTTATCAGACGCATATACCTTTATTCGATATCATTTAAAATTTTCATTGTGCCAAGTTTTTAAAACTGCCTAACTACTTAATATTTAGTCATACTTAAATAATTTAATGAATAAAAATATTTTTTATTATGTTGGTCTACAAAATTTAAAAAATTACATTTTTGGAACTCATCAACATTTTTTCCTAATAATATCCTTCCAAAATACTTGGACACTCCCAGATTTATTGGATATATCGACATACGATTTTTTATTCATAATCTTTTTATATATTTATTCAGCAGCAAACTACCCTAATTTACAAAAAAATTTTTTGAAAACCAATAATTTTATCATGAAAAATTTTCAAAAGACGGGGTGTTCCAAAAAACTTAGACAGTTTATTAAACTTTACAAAAATGCTTAAACAATTACTAAAAGCAAATAAAAAATTCTATGAACATTCCCATTGATATAGAGTAGAAAATAAAAGAGAGCTAAGTCTTTATATTTCATCGGCGTCTCAAGAATCAACGTGAATTCTCGGTACAGTGCTTAAAAAATATTTTAACCCTCTTATAGCTTATATAAAATTCCTCTTTTGGGCTATTTAAAGCCCATAAAATTTGATATAAAAAAGTCGGTGCCTATCTGTTTGGCACATGTGTATACTTAAGCTTAAAATGCTTAAAACTCCCAAAATACTCCCAAAAAGATCATTTTAAGATTCCTCAAACTTTATGTACATGAGTTCGTTATTAATCAAGTTATCTTTTTTTTACTAGTTGATTATTTAACATATTGTATGGTTCTATCCGGCATTGAAGTTTCCGGCATTGGAGCAACTTGATTTATATTTGAATTATTTTTGCATCGAAAAATTATTTGTCTGTAATTTCTTACACTCAAAATTGTTACCTTTTTTAAATTTATTTTCTTTAATTAAAAAAAATATAAATAAACTCACAATAGGATTTAAAAAAGCAACTAAAGATCCCAAACTAACCCCAAAAAATATCGCAATAGAAGATGAAAATAACCCATGCAAATTAAATAAAAAATTAAAATTGGCGAATAAATTGGAGATGTAAGGTAATAGAGGCAGTATAGCCTAAAATTGTTAAAATAAATTATTGAAGATGGGGTAATGTGGAAATGGATTTTTAGGGCTTTTTAATTTCAAATTTCACCTGTGCCCCCAAAACAATACTTAATTGTTTATTCATATTTCGTAATTGAGTCATTTGTACACCTTTACAATGCCGATAAACACAAATTTGAATACTTATTCCACAAAAAATAATTATTATATAATTAATTATATTTAATGCTGAAGCATAATTTGAAGTAAAAATTGATAGGTCGTTGGTCTGTAAATGTTAATTTTTTAAATGAAATTTAAGGTTCTTTTACAAAGGAGAGGCTTTTGGGTGTCCGTGGGACTTCGTGATGAAATTTGGTAGACATGTAGAAATTTGGTAGACCCTCTCTATTGTGAAACTTGAAACCGTTTCGCCCGAAGTCCCGCGGACACCCAAAAGCCTCTCCTTTGTTAGAGCTTTCCATTTTCTCGGAGAACGTGGGGAGTTTTCCGTAAGTCTAATTTCCAGTTCCAGCGCCTTCAAGAGACTTATTTCATGTCTAGTCACATTTAACTGAATCAGGGATTATCTTACTCTCGATCTAAGTCCAACAACATAATTTTTAATTGTATAATTATCCAATCCCAATGTTTGTGCCAACTCATAATTAGTTAAATGCTCATTCTCTGGTGTTGGTTGGTTTGATATAAATGCAAAAATATTTAAAATAAATATGGGAATTGTCATTCCAACGAGTAATAACAATTGATGTTTAAATTTAACTTCAACTCCTCTTAATACAAAAAGTATTTCTAAATTATTTTTCCTAAAGTTTTACCGTACAACAGCAAAATAACGATAAATAAATAAAGTACAGACATTCATTGAGGTAACTCTTGCCATAAAATGATTAATTCGGAGAAGAATAGATTGCCAAGGATTTGGTAATAAATGTATAGGTCCGTAATTCCAATTTGTTCCGACACCATTATCAGAAATATAAACCTTTTTGATGTAAAGATTTTGGATTATTGGATTTTTTGCAATAGGATTCTGTTCACTAAAACAAAGTTAAAAATAACTTACCGGTCTCACTATTATTGCCTTTTTTTTATATTTTAGTTATTTTTGACTGGTTATGTGTAAACTAAAAATGAGACAGATGTTCAGTCTGGTCAATGAACTTCATTTTCTTTCATATTTTTGAAATCCTATGAGCAGATAAAATTATGTCTGACGTCGTCGTCGGAGCCGAGTTTGACAAAAGGAGTTGGGTAATATGTTTAGATAATATATTTTTCCAGCACCCAAATATTTATTTATTTACCGGTTGTGTCAAAACAAACATACAAATCCCAACAATATCCACAAAACAAGTTTGTAAAAGTATTTTGCTATAAACTTGCATTTCAATCATTGTATAACGTAAAATTAGCCAAATTAAAAACCAATTAGAAAACAATCCAAATGTAGCAAAACAATAAATTATTGTTGAATATATTTCTCCTATTAACATTTTTTCTTTACAAAAAAAAATTATGTCTAGTAAAAATTTTTCAACTTAATTTTTATGTTTATGACAAGCACAACTTTATTTATTTCTTAGAAAATTAAACAAAAAATATTTTTTAATTAATTATCCCACACTTTTTAAGCTCATATTTAATCAAATAATTTAATGCTAGCATAAGTCAGAAATGTTTCCTGTGAGAAATTACCCGTCCCATGAAAGTAAACTTGTCCCAAAGTGGTTTGTAAGCCTAATGAAAGTATGCCCCTTTAAAATATTTATACTCAACAATGAACAATTTTTTAAAAATGTTTGGAATAACTTAAGTTGTTTGACAAACAATGTTTAAAAACATTTTGTTTTTACAGCATGTTTTGATGTTTTGAATAAAAAATTATTTGGAAAAACAATTGTTTTTAATAATGTTTTCAGTAATTGTAAAACATGTTTTAATGTTTGAGAAAATGTTTTAATGTTTGTTTTGTTTACAAACAAGACAACAATATTTTTGAACAAACAGACATTATTGACAACAAATGTTTTTCAGACAATTTTATGTTTTATTTAGATGTTTTGTGTTTTAAAAATGTTTTTAACAACTAAATGTTTGGAACAACTAAAACTTATTCTTAAGTTTCTTTAAAGGAGTTTTAGGGAAACATTTTTTGTTTAGAGGAATTTGTTTTGTTTCTAAGGTTGTTGAAAAATAAGTGTCTGAAAAATAAATGCGTAAACAACATCCAAATCTTTCAGTAAAATAACTTTAGAAAATTAAAAAAAAATTAAAATTATCCCACACTTTTAATTTACTTTATGTTTACTTAGAAAAATAATTAAAAATTTTATTTAAACTTTAACAATATTCTCACGAATTTTTATTGTTGTTTAAATTAATAAAAAATTAACCCAACCTAAACAGCGAAATAGGGTCAACCCTGAAGACCTACGCCCACAAAACCTACACCCACAACCATCACTTTGATAATTTATTTTTAATTTTACTCCCCTATTTTGACTGGTGCATGGAAACACTTCAATTTTTATTTTGAAAAGACATTAAGAAAAATCTACAAAAATTCGAACAAGCATATTTATTGATGCTAAGAGGAAATAAAAAAGAACTAGGCCCATATCTTGTTTTAGAACCGCGATCTCGATACCCTGAAATCAACATAGAATAGGTAAGCAACTTTAAAAAAATTTTCGACCTCTTTTGGTACGGGTCGACGCAGAAGACCCACAGACAGAAGACCCAAGGACAGAAGACCCACGGACAGAAGACCCACAAGGACAGAATACCCACAGACAAAAGACCCACAACTATTTTTCAGTTTTATTGTGCATAAATTTTGGCGCGAGGGATTTGTTAATTTTATTAGTTTTCCACAATAAGAGGTTGATCCAAAAACGGGGATGTTATTTTAACAATATGGGATGTTGTTGCAAAAACGGGTGAATTTTCGGGATTTTTAATATTGTCAAGGTCGTGTCAAAAAACATAATCCGATTAGGATCAGATATAAAAATGGTAGAAAAATAGCTAATTGGCCTTCCAAAATTCAAAGAATTTACACCTATGTTGCTAAAAAAGTAGAAACCTTGCTTCTTGCCCTTTCATAATTCCCAAAATTTTTGTCTGCGATAGATTAGGGGACATTTAGATTATAGATCAAAGAGACATTTAATATGATGGGGTATTTAAGATTAACTGGATTATAGCGAGAAGTCAGTTAAGTCCACATGGAGGGATGTCGTGGATCATTGGTATTAGCAGAGATTAGGTAATTATTTCTGAGTAAGATGGAGGGATATCGGTTGATAAATGCGGATTAGTAGAATTATAAAAGCTTAAAAGGTTTAAATCCGTTTACTCCCCTTTAAATCCCCTGACATATCCGATTTTCTGTTTGAGAGAGATATCGGAGTATTACTTCTCCCGGTTCCTGTTATAAACAATTTAAGGATAAGAATAGACATCGGTGGATCTGAGATTTTGGTTTTACCCCTATATTCTCTAAATCCCACGCTAAACCAACATATCCCAATTAATCAGCCGCTCTTCAATCCACTTTTTCTTTAATCAAATTTTATTTATTAACTTTGGAATAAAATTTTTTTTAATATTTTAAAAATATTTTTTTTAATCTTGTGCCTAGAAAAATAGACAAGTCTTTTTCAAAATTGCCTAGAAAAATGGACAAGCCTTTTTCAAAAATTTCAGAACTCTTCTTAAGTTTTGGTTAAAAATTTTTCCTGTGGGTCTTTTGTCTGTGGGTATTATGTCCTTGTGGGTCTTCTGTCTGTGGGTCTTTTGTCTGTGGGTCTTCTGTCTGTGGGTCTTTTGTCTGTGGGTCTTCTGTCTGTGGGTCTTCTGTCTGTGGGTCTTCTGTCACTACGCCTTTTGGTATGTTTTAAATTTTTCTTTTAGGCTCATTCGAAAGCCCTTGAAATTCTCTACAATTTAGCAATAATCTTATCTCACAGAAAATTCGGCGAAACGCCGAAAACAGAAAATTTACAGAAAAACAGAACGATAAATAAAATTGTATATTTTTGTTAAAATTTAAAAATATTATTCGAAAAATACTCTATTAAGATTCACTTTATTAAACCCTTCGGAACAACTCTAACATAAATTTTAACCAGGAAAATTTAAGACAAAAACCAAAAAATATTAATTCTAATCAAAACAAATCCCTCTTTTTTTTCTCATTGTTTTGTCATTTTTAATATTTGTTTCATATGTACTTCAATATAATCTTGAAAAGCTGCTGCATTTTTAGGGGCAATGTGTAACCGAATTTGTTTTAATGATTCTGCAAATATTTGGGAATCTAGAGGGCTGAGACGTTTCTTTTCTGCTCCAATTGTTCGAAGCTGTTTTTAAAATAATTTTGAAAACTTTGAAAATTTAAAAAATTTCGATTCATAAGGTACAAAATGGTCATAGAGAAAACTATGATTACCAGACCGTCTCACGGATACTGATTTTGGTATCCGTATCAACATATTTACGGCGGATACAGGCGGATATCCGCAGGCATTTTGATATTATCTGTATCCATATCCGTATGCATGAGTAGGTCTGATAATTACTCCCATTTTGCTTCTGACCATTTTGTACAATGAAAGCAATTTGTCTAACTAGAAATTTCAAAAATATTTTTAAGAACCTGTAAAAGTAGAGAAATTAATGAAGTTATTAAATGAAGTATTCGTTTGTTGCGAACATTTAATTCACTGTTACTAAAAAATTAAAAAAAATTAAATTAACAAAAATATAAAAAATTACCAATGTTTGACGATTTGGAAGGCATGTGTCTAAATAAAAATAAATTTAGAAATGAATTTTTTTATAAATAATATAGCTAGCTAGCAGGGGCACGCCCAAGTAGGCGCGCAGCCATAACAGCGCAAAGCCATAAACTTGCTGGAAAATTTTTTGCCCTCGTCAATTTTGGTACCAATCTCTTTAGCTCGATGAGAAGAATCGTTTAATACTAAATTTGGTAAGATTCGGAATCTTGAAGCAGATATATGCTTTGCGCCGTTATGGCCGCGCGCCTACTTGGGCTGTACCCTAACTAGCACTCTGATAACGAAACTAAAGCGAAAATATTAAAAACTATTCTCCAATTAAAAATTAAAAATAAATTTTTAAAACAAACATTGCATGTTTTTCTGAATATTTCAGGCCTGTCCATTGGTGTTGGATTACTTAAATGTGGAATTAATGCATTATAATGTAAATGTATTGATGACATATAAGATTCCAAAAGTTTATTTACTGTTTCCAAATCGAGAATTATTTGAGCAAATTTTATCTAAAATTTTAGGGAATTAATAAAATAATGAGAAATATTGAAATAGAAACCATTTAACATCAAAACTCAAAATCACTCCCTCCCGCCGAAAGTAGAGTTAATGGATACCAATGGCGTATCCAAAGGGGCTGATACCAAATGGGGTAAAGTGGGAAAAATTGTAAGAAGACGGTCTAAGAAGCCCCCCCCCCTCTCCCAGAAACCGACCCCCTGGATACACCTTTGCTGGAACGAAAGAAACCAAGGTATTCTAAATACCGTGAAAGCTCTAATAGAAGCCCGGTCCTAATAGAAGCCCACCCAATGGGGGGTATTGAAAAATACAAGCCCAGGGCTTCTATTGGAGCTTTTACGGTGTTCGGTTTGGCTTCTAATGATGACAAGAAATTTTCCTATCCCCATGGCAAAGTCATTCCTAAACATTAGTGATGCTCGGGTATCCCGATCCCGACTCGGGAAAATTTTCCGAGTTTTTGGCCTCCCGATCCCGACTCCCGGTGTCAATTCCCGACTAAGTCGGGAAATTTTTACACCCCTAAGAATGGCTTTTTCAGGCAAAATTATATTTTTATTTATAAAAAATGAAGAAATCTGGCCTCTTGGTCTTCCAAAATTCTCAAAATTTTCGCCTGCGGCGCTGAAAATGGAAAAAGCTGTGGAGTTCTAGTATAGAAGATTTCTGCGATTTACTAGGATTATGGTGAATCTGAAGAGATGAGGGATTTGCAGTAATAAAGAGAGATAAAAATGAGTGATATCAATGGATTTGAGTGATTAATGTTGCATAGGGGGTGTTAATACTATAAAGGGGACGATGATGGGACGATGATGATGATTAATCTTTTTTTTCTCGTGATAACGATTTAAATTTAGTATTATTTTTCAACTCCAATGTTCTCTAAATTTTTGCCTGCAGCGCAAAAAATGGAAGAAATCTGACTTCTTGACCTAAAAGTTCTCAAAATTTTCGCCTGCGGCGCTAGTAAGAAAATGCCTGGCTTCTTTACCTTCCAAAATTTTCAATATTTTCACCTACAGTGAAAAAAAATCGGAATTTTTGGCGCCGAAGGCGCCAAAAATTTTTTTACTGCTAATTCCCGACTCCCGATCCCGACTCCCGAGGTCATTTCCCGACCCGACTCCCGTTTCCCGGGTTTTTTCTTCTCCCGAGCATCACTACTAACATCTCCGTATTTATGACCTTTTTGGCCCTTCTAAAATCCCACTAATTTTCGTTTGCTGCTCTGAAAAGGAGGACATATGTAGAATAAAAACACCCCTAATGCTCTACAACTTTGGGGACCCTATCACTCAATCTTCATTTTAAAAAAAATTAAAAATAAACTTTAAATTCATGTGGATATTTTCCACCAAATAAATTCATCCGTTCAGCACAATCATTCATCGATATCATATTTGAAATTAATTGTTTCTTAGTTTCCAAAACTTTGCATAATTTAACAAGAATTACAAGCATTCGAACTGGAAAATTTCCAACTTTTTCTTCTTTTCCTGAAAAAAATTTCATTAGAATTTTAATACACCGTAAATGCTCTAATAGAACCACATGTGCTCCTATTTTTCGATTCTCTAGTAGGGTGTGCTTATATTAGGGAGTGTGCTTCAGATAGAGTGTGGTTCTATTAGAGCATTAACGGTAGTTGGATTACACTATAGCTGCACATATAGTTTAGGTATAACTCAATTTATGGTCCAACTTTTAAATTAATTAATTGGCCACTTGATGGAAAAGCTCCCCTAAAGATATGTTAGGATACATCACATTATAGTATAAAGTATAATTTTTCAGACGGGAGAGTGTATCCTACCGACTGTAGTTAATTATTTCTAAAGAGATGTTAAAAGGATGGAATTTTTTAAAAAGACGGGTCTTTGTAATATCCTAAGCGCATCAACTAACAAGCTCACTCAATTAATCCCTGAATGTGACATTCTAAAAATAAGTGACATTCTAATAACTGACATTCTAATAACTACCCAGCCCAGTAAATCCCCCCAAAAAATAAAAACCTATAACAGCTTTAACTGCCGGTTTATCTCTAGTTTCACTTTCATTTTTAGCCAAAGAATGCAAAATTTGTTGATTTTCAGTAATTGTAGGTTTTGAATGTTGTTGATATTCTGCTACATTTTTAGTTAAATTATTTTGATTATAATTTATTGGTTGCTGTTTTTCTAAAGAAATTGACTGTTGTTGAGAAGAGGAAGAAGATTGTTGTTGTTGCTGTTTTTGCGGGGATTTTGTTGTAGATAATGGATTTATTATTCCACTTGAACGACTTCTGTTGGCATGATTTTGTTCCAAAAAGTATTGTATTGATAAAAGATCTGCTGGTTGGTCAAACATTAATTCATAATCCTAAAAAAAGAATTTTTTAATTTTTTTTAAATTATAGGGGCTTATTGCTTGTAATAAATAAAGAAGGAAAAGAATAGACCAATGTGTGTCATTCAATTAATCTTGGGAAAAATTAAGTTCGGAATTTTGAGAACATTCAAAAAAATAAAAAATTTAGTTCCACAAAGATTGTAGATAAATTTTAAGTTTTTATAAAATTTTTATTTTTTGTCTCAAAAATATAAACGAAAAAAAGGTAGTCAGTTAGTTAACAAAAAATACAAAAAAAAATATTGTTAGTTTAAAAATAGAAATTTGGATTCAACAACGGAAGAGGCTTTAATTGGAACCACCAAGAGAAAAAGGCTAAAATCAAAAAAAATCAGAAACCCAAAGTTGTAATTGTTACTTATTTATTAATAGGACAACTACATATGTAGAATGTGGGGATACCCAAAAATAATTTTAAAAAAACTCGTTCAACTCCAAATATAATTTTTTGTCGAATCCCTCCTCATATTTAAAAAACCCTTATTTTATCAAAAAAAAACAAACTTTAATAACACTCGGAGGAATTGCTGAATCTTCAAAAATAACTCGGTAAGATCCTTCCCCAGCAGAGACAGCATCAATCGAACCAGCATAAATTCCATCTTTTGGATTATGAACACGAGCATAAATTCTTTGTCCCAAAACTGGTGGACGAGGCAAATATGAAGGTAAATCAATTGAATCATCATCTATTGAAGAACAAGTCCCTTCATAGATTTGACGTATTTTTTGTCTTAAATTAAGAAAAAATTTAAAAGAATCCTAATTAAACAGCTATTTTGTTTAAATCCCACCCCCTACTTATTGAGTCCAACAAATATTAAAGTCAATCATTTCAACAACTTTATAGTACCCCTAAAGAAAGATTTTTATAAAGAACACTAGTGGACCAAGTAAAATTTTAAAGCTTTAAGAAAGAAAATGAGACTCGAAAAAGTAAGGGGTAATACAAAAAGAAAGCCAAAAAATGAAGAAAATTACAGAAAAATTGCACTAAATACAATGAAGAAGCTAACATATGTAAGTAGAAAGGTCATAAGCTTATCAGTTTCAAAACTAAAAATAGTTAAAAGCTCAATAAAAAATAATATGTAAAAATAATTTACCTATCCCCCTCTCCTTCCGAAATAAATTAAAAACCTGACCTACTCCCAAACAAATAATAAATTTTTAAATCCTTTCTCCCCTGACAAAAAAAATAAAAATATTTTTCCAAACCGTTTTTCTTCCAACGCTTCTCTTTCTTCATTCAAAAATGCTTGAGAACAACGTCTAGGCCTTCCAACAAGTCTTCTAACTTCTCTCCATTCTGGCTTTCTCATTTTTGTGCATTTTAAATTTGGAAAAGATTCTTTCATTAATTGGGCAAATTCATTTTCTGACAAAAATATTTGTTGATCAACACCCGAGTAAAAATACTCGCAAAAAACGAAACGACGAGCTTTTGGTAATTTTAGGACATTCTGAAAATTATTTTGAAAATTAAAGAGTCATTTAAACAAGATAAAGCAATTTTTAGTAAAAAATTAAGGAAAATAAAGGATACAACCAGATACGGGTATTTTAGGATTCCACAACATTTTTTAAGTTTGTGACATGCAGAAAGTGAGTTTAAGATCATCCAATAGCTTGTTATTTTTTGTCTACTCTATGGGTCACTTAAATTCTAAAAATTGATATAAGCTAACGAATAATCTTGGAGCCAGTTTTCCGCCAAGCACGTAGCCAGGATTTTTTTAGGGTGGGGGGCCAATGGAGGGAAATTTTTTTGCACCGAATTTTTGGCGCCGAGGGCGCCCCCTGGCTACGGACCTGGTTGCCGCAGATTACAGAAACAGACTGCAAGAAATCCAGAGATACTCAGTAAAAACCAAAAATAAACGAAAAAAAGAAAATAGAACGCCCTATCCTTTTTGCCCTATTTTTCAAAGAAAAAATTTTCAAAGGATTTTCACTAAAATTTTTTTAAATTTAAAAACCTCATATTCCGCGTTTTTACCTTCAATTTCCTCAAATCCGCCTTCAATTGTGCTGATAACAAATCTGCTACAGCCCCTTGTTGAAATGTTGCCGTTCTAGATTGTTGCCCTCCCCGCTGGTTTCCACCACTTTTTGTGGCCACATTTGTGTTTGAAGGAAATTTTACATTAATTTTTTGTTTGTTTGTGTTTAGTGTATTTGTAACATTTGTATTGATGTTGTTATTGTAGTAGGTAGCTGAAGGGCTGTTATTACCACCTCCGACAACGACAACTGTGTCGCTCTATAAATTGAAGAAAAATTTTAAAGAAATTTCAAAAAAAAATTTTTTGGTTTTTCAAATTTAAAAACCCCAAAGACACAAGAGTCACATGTTGGAAACAAAGAAGCTTTAAAGTTCTTCACCTAAAAGGGAATCTAAAGTCGAAAAATCATCGAAAACCCCAAAAAATCGGAAAAAGTCTGATATGTTAAACTTAACAAAATATTTTCAAACTTGTATCAAGTCTAGGCATCTATGTAATCTTAAAGACAGGAAAAGCTTTCGTTTAGACGTTCAGGTATCCGAAACCGAGTAATCCGAATCAAGTTACTAGGTTCAGTTCCGAATCGAAAAGAAATAATTGGGGTCTATGAACTAGAGACCGGTGCGGGACGGGATCCGCGCGGGATTTTGCGGGATCCCGTCCCAGAATCCCGCAATTTTTCAATTTGCGGAATTTATCCCGCGGGATCCCATCCCGCAGATTTAAAAAAAATCCCGTATGCGGGATCCCGCAAACGCGATTTTACCGGTCTCTATTATCCCACTAAAATTCCCTATAGGGTTTTTACATCCATTTGATAAAATATTGATTTTATCAAATTCCTTCCAGAAATTCCTTCCAAAAAATTCTTCCAAAAAATCCTTACATAAAGATTTGTTGCATGCCCACGAAGCGGATATCGATGATATTGTTGCTGTTTTTGAGAAGGTGTTGAATCAGTATTTTCAGTCATTTAATTTGAATTATTGCCTGAAAACATTAAAAAAAATTGCCGTAATTTTAAATTCGAAAAAATTTATTGTGATTTTTTTGAATTTAAAAATTGTAAAGAAAGGAAAAAATTGTTTTGTGCTAAATTTTCAAAATTGGGTATTTAAAAATGTAAATAGAACATGTAGATTTAACTGACTGGTAGAACACCTGTTCGTATTCTTATCGATAAAAAAATTCTAAAAATCGAAACAAGTAAAGAACAAAAAAATACAAGCTTTCGGAATAATGGCTTTTAAGAATGTTTGTGTGTCTCTCCTTTATCTATGTTTTCTTTCTCTTTCTCTAACAGTTGAGTGCGACCAGTTGAGTGCAGTTATCCGCTGTCTTTTTTTAACCATTCTTTTTATTTGGGATTTTCTTTCGGTCTTAGAATGAGGTTATACCTAAATTAAAAACAAAGCTAGGCTCTTGTCCAGTTTATGAGTCCCATGAAAGTATATGCGTCCCATCAACAAAAAATTGGATTTTTCTTGGTGTTGCAAAGTAGGGGTATGGTTCCAAAGCATTTCTTCATGTTCGGGATCTACGTCCACTGGGTCTGGGACCGTTCCTTACCCTATCTCTGAAATTTCTGAAAGTTATAGCCAATTTTTAAAAATTTCAGAAAAACGATTTTAACTTTCAGAAATTTCGAGGTATAGGGTAAGGAGCGGTCCCAGACCCAGTGGACGTAGATCCCGAACATGAAGAAATGCTTTGTAACCATACCCCTACTTTGCAACACCAAGAAAAATCCAATTTTTTGTTGATGGGACGCATATACTTTCATGGGACTCATAAGCTGGACAAGAGCCCAAAGCTAATTATAAAATTTGGCAAAAAAATAATAGTGTTCATTTCACTTATTAAATTAGTGGCCCTAAGTAGAGCCGTTTGTGCCGAGGTTTTCGTTGTTGATATTCTATCACCGCTTCTATTCCTTCCCAAAACGCTTAGCAAGCTTGCTAGGCAAAACCACCTTGGAAATAGTACACTGAACACAACATTAACACAATTTAGAACATTAATCCTTTAGCTCTAGAAAGATTGAAAATTTGCAAAAAATAAAACATGCTGCTTAGAATAGCATAACGATTTCACTCTATTTAAAAAACTAAAGCATCGTACCCAATATCCATCCAACAATCTTCGATACACATACCAAAACCCGTTGAACTCTAATCCAGCTAATATAAGAATATTTCAATTTAAGCTTCGCCAAAGGCAAAGCATTTCCAAAATTTCTCCCAAGAAGCCACTCTCGCAAGGGCAAGGTCTTAATATTTACCTTATTTCTTGGGTAATTAACCAAAGACTTCAACCAAATGAGAGTATATTTGAAATAACCATCGATAAATTTCAGCTGTGATATAAAATTTGACATTTATTTAAAAATAAAGGCAAAGATGGAAATATTTTTCCCTATATCTCTTTCATTTATTATTTCTCTAATTCTATAGCAATATATAGTCTATAACAAAAATGCCTATACTTGAGAAAATAACGAAACGAATAAATTCAACTAAATTTCATAACGTCCAGATAGCTAAATTATTTAAAAATGTGAAGCAATTTTAACATTCATATTCAAACGGATACTCAACTGCTCTGAATAGAAATGTTTTCGGTTTAAAATTTAATTATAAAATACTATAGTAGTCAGACTACAAAACTTTTTTTAATTTTTAAAATTTTCCATGAAATTAGTGTCTGTATAAAAGAGTACAAAGGCTTTAAAACTTTTTGTAGTTTAAGTGCATCTTCTTGAAAAAAAATAATAAGCACATTATGAGCTTTTCAAATAGATTGAATACTTGGAAAAGGTTGCCAGTTAGACAGGAAATGCTCTATACGCACTTAACATTCGGCACTCAAACGTCCTGATTTTTAACTTTTTTGACTTGGGTACATCCCAATTAGGCGCGCGACCATAACGGCGCAAAGCGATAACTTGCTTCAAGATTCCCGAATCTTCCAAATTTAGTGTTAAATGGTTCCTCTCATCGAGCTAAAGAGATTGGTACCAAAATTGATAAGGGCCAGAAATTTTCCAGCTAGTTATGGCTTTGCGCCGTTATGGCCGCGCGCCTACTTGGGTTTGTCCCGTTTGACTTTATTTTCTTCAGAAATTTTTTTCCAATTTTTCAGACAAAATTCAACAAATTCTTCGGGGTCTCCTTTTAAAAATAAAGTTTGAAACCCTGATTTTATTTCAAATTTAAGACTCTAGCAACCCCAGATCGGTTGCATGGAAGCATGCGTCAATCAATTAACGTCCGATAATTTAATTTTTTTACCCGTTTACTCAGACTAGTAATAAATTCAATGATATTAACTTCCGTTAAATTTTGTGTGGAATTATTCCTATCTGCCAGTCATTTAGTGGATTTGGAGTATTTTTAATAGAAAAAAGATTTTTAATTTTCTAAAATTTATTTAAAAAATTTTTTTTAATTCTGCCTCTAAAGGAGAATGAGAATTTTAACAATAAGTTTCACTCTCCTGTTTCTGTAATGGATTGGGAACCGTTTGCCTAATTTACGGTCTTCCATTACTTTCCCAATTTTTCCTCGTTTTTATTAGAGCTCGACGCGGGACGGGATCTCGCGCGGGATTTTGCGGGAGCCCCGCAATCCCGCACTTTTTTCGATTTGCGGGATTTATACCGCGGGATCCCGTCCCGCAAACATTTTTTAAAAAATTTTATCCCACGGGGTCCCGCAAACGCGATTTTGCAGACCCTTAGTTTTTATCTCCTCTTTCTCATCGATTATATTTTCTTATCTTCATCCACGTTTTTGTCTCCATATCCCATCCCCCCCCTCCCCTCAAATTTTCCCTCTATAAAAATTTAATTGTCTTCATCGCGTCTCTAATTGATTTTTCTTTTTGATTTTATAAATTTTTATTTTTTAGCTTCGGAAAAATTGGCTATTCGGCTTTGGCATTGCCCTTTTTTGACCCGATAAAATGTCTGTTGTCGAGAAAAAAACTTTGGATTACACTGTGGACTTTCCCAAACTTCCGGATGCTCCTTCAGCAACTTCAACAAGTTCTAGCGTCCCTTCTGGTGCTTGGACTGGCTCTGCTCAACCGGCAATAAAATCTTCTGTTGTAACCGAGGCGTTTAAATTAAGTGCTGAGGAACGTGCTTCTCATGGTGGAATTGGACGCCCTTTTGGTGGACCGGCTTCTGAGGAACAACAAAAATGCAATCAAATAGCGCAAAAAACTGGTTTGTTTATTTAGAATGTTTGGGGGGTTTTTAAGTAGGGAAATGGCGACCTAACCCGTGTAATTGGCAAGTTACATAGCAAAGACTTGTTGATGTCCTTTCTTTCAAATTATTTGGTTCTCGATAGACTAGTTAGTTTCCTTCATAGGAGTTGACTTTTCTGTGTTTCGGTCCTCGTAACTAACATGTTTAGGGCGTAGATGGTTTTTTGGTAAGCCCAGCAAATTATGATTTCAGCTGACAGTTTAGGAAAGCCGAGGCCTGATTTTTCAAGACTTTGGGCTTTCCCGGACTTGAGTTTCTATAACTTTCGACATCCTTTACTTGGTAGCTTCAGTTCTTCAAAGATTTTTACATTACACTAAAAAAATTAACTTTCCCCCCATTTTAGGCACCAAAATCGAACTCAACGAGGCAAAGGATCAGTCAATCACGATTTTGATAACTGGAAAACAAAAGAATGTTGAAGATGCCCGAACTCGTCTAGTTCGTGAACTTCAAACACAGGCAACCGTTCGGCTTGAAATTCCAAAGGAATATCACAGTTTTATTATTGGTTTATTTTTTTTAATATTAAATTTTCTAAAATTATTTTTCAGGCAAACAAGGCTCTAAATTACACCAACTTGAACAAAAATTCCTTTGCCGAATTCATATGCCCAATCGTGAAGAGAAAAGTGACGTTATTCGTATTGTTGGCCCAAACGAGTTTATTGTTGAAGCGGCAAAACAAATTAAGGCTATTGGAGATGAAATGGTTTAGTTTTTTTTTATTTACAAGGAGAGGTTGCGAGGCAAAAACGACTCAAAATCCTTACTAGAAAGGGCACATTCTCTATCGAATGATCCCGGTCTCGACCGTCTTTAGGCCGGACATCTCGCAACCTCTTAGTAGTAGTAGCAGTTTATTGTTTGTAGGAATTTCCGGTAGGCTTGTAATTCCTTTTTCTAAAAATTTTCTTCTTTGCTGACTTTTCAGCTATTCATAAAGTCTTTTTGAACTAAGGTTGGGGATCTTTGATAATCTTCGTGTCCACTTTCAAAAGCTAGGAACTCCGAATTCATTCCTTGATTTATTCCCGAATCTATTGTACTCAACTCTGTTGCTTATCTATTTAGTGTTAGCCTCCCTTTTAGATCTGTTGCCTTAAATCATACAACAGACGGTCACTGAAGTTGTTATTGTTTTCGTTATTTACATACATATTCCTTTTATTTTTGCTGTTTCGATAGTCACCATTAAGTCTCCAACTTTTCTACTTTTGTCATTATTTGAAAAAAATGTTCTCATTTTTAGGCAAAACAAAAGACCGAAAATCTGAATATTCCGCGTTCTTTTTACCCTTGGATTCGTGGAGTGAACAATGAAAAACGTTTGTGAATTAAAAATAAAATTAAATTTTAAATAACTTTTTTAGTTGATGATTTAATACATCGAACTGGTGTTAAAATAAATATCCCACCTATCCAAGCGAATAATGAAACAATTATTATTAGTGGAGAACGTGAAAGTGTTGACGCGGCTGTTGCGGAAATTAATCATATTTACCAGGAGAAGGTTCGGAAATTTATTTTTTCATCCGGGGCTTTTTTTATTTATACAAAATTTTTTTGACTCATTTGGGTCGGAAAAGAAGTCTTTTCTCACATATACTCTATTTTTATAGTATAGCCTTTGTAACGTTATTTATTCGCCATTCCATAGCAAGGGCGTATCCAGGGGGGCTAGAGCCCCCCCCCCCCCCGAAATGGGGGAAAGGGGGAAAAAATTAGGAGAAGGGTGGTCGAAAAAGTGAAATTTTTTCGCCTACAACCCTCAAATTTTAAAAAATTTTCGCCTGCGGCGCAAAAAATGGAAGAAATCTAGCTTCTTGAGCTCCAAAATCCTTAAAATTTTCGCCAACGGCGCTAAAAAGTGAACTTTTTTGGCCTACGGCCCTCCAAATTCAAAAAATTTTCGCCTGCGGCGCTAAAAAGGAAGAAATCTGACTTCTTGGGCTCTAAATTCCAAAAAATTTTCGCCTGCGGCGCTGAATAAGTGAATTTTTGGCCTACGGCCTTATAAATTTTAAAAATTTTCGCCTGCGGCGCAAAAAATGGATGAAATCTGGCTTCTTGAGCTCCAAAATCCTCAAAATTTTCGCCTGCGGCGCAAAAAGAAGTGAATTTTTTCGCCTACGGCCCTCTAAAATTAAAAAAAATTTCGCCTGCGGCGCTGAAAAGATATACAAAAAAATTTGCGTTCGGAACGCCAAAAATTTTTGCGCCCACCCAGTGTTAGCCCCCCCCCCCCCCCCCCCCCCCCCGAAACCGACCCCTGGATACGCCCTTGTTCCATAGTAGGGCTGTAATTTAATATAGGACACTAATTCTATTTTTTGACTACCCTTTAGTTTAATACGAGGCTATGTTGATGAAATACTGGAATTTTCATTAATTTTTCGTTTAATTTTTAATTTTGTAGAAAGAATCTGTCGTCTCTTTCGAGATTACTGTCAAAAAGGCTCAGCATAGGTTCATTATCGGTCGTAAACGTACAGGTTTAGATGAAATATTTCGAGAAACTGAAACCATTGTTGAAATGCCATCAGAGGAAAATGATTCTAACAAAATTGTTTTGCGAGGGCCAAAAGATAAAATTGGAGATGCGGCTGGAGCGGGTTTGTTCTAGTTTAAATTTAATTTCTTAAAATGTTGAGGGAAATTTTTTGAGTGTTGCGAAAATGCTTTTTTGTCCTAAAAATTTTTTTGGGATTCATAAAATACGCAGGTTACAGCCCAAAAATACGCGCGGCCATAACAACTAGAGCTAGGAATTTTGAAAAAACCGGGACCGGGTAACGGGTTTTGAAAAATGGACCGGCCGGGTTCCGGGTCGTGAAAACGGGAAACCCCGTACCCGGTTTCAACCCGGTATTTTTAAAAAACCCGGGAAAACGGACCCGGAAACCGGGAAACGGTTCCGGGTCCCGATCCCGTTCCTAGCTCTAATAACAACGCAAATATCAATTTTGGTACCATCTCTTTAGCTCGATGAGAGAAATCGTTTAATACTAAATTTAGAAAGAACGGAAAACTTGAAGTAAGTTATGGCTTCGCGTTGTTTTTTGCGATGTATAAAATACACAGAATGAGTTCCAAACCCAAAAATCAACTTAATAATTATGCACGATTCATAAATTTTATTTTAATTTTTTTAGTTTATCAACGTGCTAGTAGTATTATTGCAGCAGAGGTTCCTTTCCAAGAATGGATGCGTCGTCATTTAATTGGCCCTCGTGGGGCTAATCTTCAGGTTTATTTTTAAATTTTTTTTAACGACCTAATTTGAATTTTTTAAGAATTTGGTTCCTCATCAAGAAAATTTGCGTTTAGACTTTGAAGAAGGTTTAATTTATATTGAAGGTCCACCAGAAGAAGTTTTGCAAGCAAAACAAAAATTATCGAAGGAAATTACTCGTCTTGGAAATGAATTTTGTTCTGAAGTAATGCATGTTGCTCCAAGTTTGCATAGGCATATAATTGGAAAAAGTGGATCTGTTGGTTTGTTTTTTTATAAGAAATTGTTTTGTGGTATTTTAGTCTATCATTAAAAAGATTGGATAAAATACACCCCTTATGCTGTGTTTACATAAAAATTCGGTGCATTTTGCGTCAGAAAAGATAATGGAAAGAGAGGAGGGTAAACCGCGCGCGATCTTGCCTCTCATGGTTTTGAATGCTATTTTCTGTCTCAAAAACCCAGGCATACGATTTTCATAAAAATAACACTTACGAACTTTGAGTAAAATTCTACATTTTTTTATTTCATCCTTTGATGCATCGTTCAAAGCATTACAAATTTTTTGGTGTTTTTTTGTTTTTAGTCCCAAAATTGAGAGTTATATAGATTCAAAGTTTAAGTCCTGCTAACTGGGGATGTTCCTTCATAACTCTAATTTTTCGAGTTATGTGTATTTTCCTCATTATGCCAGGATGGCCTGACTGTTTTTGTCCTTCCTTTTTCTTAAATTTTTGTTCAATTAAATTTATTTTTAGTAAACAAACTAAAGGAAGATTTTGACGTTCAAATTTTTGTGCCCAATGAAAGTTTAAAATCTGACTTAATTCGGTTAGAAGGCAAAAAAGAAAATGTTGAAAAAGTGCGTGAACAAATTGCTGATCTTGTTGATAAACAACAAAAGCGTCAACAGCCGCCACAAACCTTAAATAATAATATTCAAAATAATAATACTCAAAATGGTGTTAAATCTAAAGTGGAACAACCAACGGTTTTTTTAAATTTTTGGGTAAATGTAAGGAAATTTGTTAGAATTCCGTCATATCCCCCATACTTCTATTCAAACAAACTCATGTCATTCGAAAGAGCTCGGCGAGCAGGTTCGAACGACACCAAGATTTTTAAGTAAAAAAAGACCAAAACACACACCCAAAAGCTTCGCAACTCATCTATGCGCCGAGATACAGGCCCCTGAAAATCGAAAAACTATGGAGGGACCTCGAAACACATTGTCCAAATCGAAATATTGGGATAAGGTGGGATTTTTCCCGGAAATTCAATTGGGCTTAATTTACTTTTTGGGGGAAGGTAGAAGTAAAAATTTTAAATTCTCAAATTTTTAGGATGTCGAGGTTAGAGAACAACTCGAGGTTGACCCTAAACATCATCGACACTTCATTGTTCGTGGTGCAGAAGTACTTCGTGAAATTCAATCCCAATGTGGAAATTGTCAAATATCTTTCCCAAAACAAGAAACCGGTGAATCGACTGTTATTATTCGAGGTTTTAAAGAAAATGTTGAGAATGCTAAAAAGCGAATTTTGGCAATTGTTGAAGATTTGGTTTGTTTTTAGAAAATTACTTGGTTACTATTTTACCTCAAATGTATGGGGTAGGTTTGGGTTTAACATAATTTAGTAAGATGTAAAGAAACAACTTGACAACAACGGGCCCGAAATCTTACATTTGGATATTCTTGGAATTAGACTTTCTCTTGAGTCTATTCCAGGGAACGAGCCGTCCCGATTCCCGAAAATAAGGAATTCCCGTCGATTTTTTTGGGTCGGGATCACGATTTCCCGAAATCGGGAATTTTATTTTTATGCTGGCTCGTTCCTTCCTGTTTTCGATTTTTTAAATTTCAAACAGTTTACGCATTACATAATCAAGTGAATCTTTACATATTCCTCCTGCCTAATTTGAAGGTTTTCCTTTCTGTTTCAATTCTAGTTTAGTTACTTTTGTTATGTTTTATGTTAAAAATCTTAAAACTTTAAGGAGGCATACACAACTACTCAACTCGATGTCGACCCTAAACACCATCGTCACTTCATTCTTCGCGGAGCAGAAGTACTTCGTGATATTCAATCTAATTGTGGCAATATTCAAATATCGTTCCCTAAGCAAGAGACTGGTGAATCAACAGTTGTTTTACGTGGACATAAAGACCATGTTGAGGCTGCGAAGAAGCGTATTTTGGCAATCGTAGAAGAATTGGTAATTTTTTAGAGACTTTAAAGGGTTTGGGGTGTTTGTTTCTTGTCTTAAAAGCCTGTATATCGATTTTTCTAAATTGTCCATTAATAGAAATATTTCAATGGAAATATCAACGCCGTTTAAGTCTCGAGAACCCAGTTCCCTCCTAGGATCGTTCCGAAAATTATGGAATAAGAGGACTTAAACACTCACATTTTCTTGTTTTAAAAATACTAAAAAAATTTTTTTAAAGGACTCTTTGGTTCAAGAACAACTTGAAGTTGACCCTAAACATCATCGTCACTTTATTCTTCGTAGCGCTAAAGTTCTTCGCGATATTCAAAATAAATGTGGCAATATCCAAATATCTTTTCCAAAACAAGAGACTGGTGAATCGACAGTTGTTTTACGTGGACATAAGGATCATGTTGAGGCTGCAAAGAAGCGTATTCTGGCAATTGTTGAGGAATTGGTAAAAAATTATTGTAATTATGGTTCATGCTAGTTAGAAGAATAGCATGAACCATTGCAGTCTAAATTCTGTTAGCTATTAGTGACAGTTAAGTGTGTTAGGATTAGGGTTGCCAAAATGGCCCGACTCGGACCGAAAGATCGAGTCGGGCCTAGGATATTTGGCCCGAAAAAGACTCGTTTGACCCGACTCGATAAAAATGAGGCCCGAAAAAGACTCGTATGACCCGACTCGATAAAACTGAGGCCCGAAAAAGACTCGTATGACCCGACTCGATAAAAATGAAGCCCGAATAAAATGACTCGGAAAAAACTGGCCCGACTCGAATGTCCTCGATAAATATTTCCTTATGGATCTTCCTCTTTGATATTTCTTTTACTGAGTAAGGGAAATATATTTTCTTTCAGAACTAATTAAATGAGCGGTTAGTTGAGTGGTTAAGGCGCTGAATTTTATTTAAAGGATTGTTGGGTTCGAGTACTAATCATCGTTTGAGACTTATTTTCAGATTATTTTAACTTTTTTTAATACAAGAGACGATTTTAAACCTTTGATATTATTTTTTGAAATTCAAAACTCTAGATTTTTCAGCTTTAGCGCAAAAAATGGAAGAAATCTGGCTTAAGGACCTCCAAAATTCCTAAAATTTTCGCCTGCGGCGAAAAAAATGAAGAAGGCGTAAAAAAAGAAGGCGTCCCCCTCCCCGTGGCGCTGCCTCCCCGAAAATTTTCCCCGTGGCCCTCCTCCCCCCCCCCCCCCCCCCCCCCCGTCGGG